TAGAGGTAAAGATCCTCTGTCTTTACAAGCGTCTCATTTCATCTGGCTCCGATAGCTCAGATGTTGATTGTGCCACTTGCCTACGTTACGCCCTCGGTTTCTATACACAGCTAACACTCATTGACGATACGCGAAAAAATGGGTTCCGAAAGCTCAGCTGCTGTTTTTTATGGTGAGATATGTAGCGCTCAAGTATTGTAATGTCACTCGAGGTGGGCTTTCAGTTTTTCTTCTCATGTAAGTACGTGGTTCAGAGGATCTCAAAGGCATATATATGAATTGTTTATTGTTACAAGAACACATATCTTCGACACCATTCATATGCTCTAGCAGCCCGACAGAAGTGAACATTATGATGCGAGTTGGTGACTGAGGATGAAAGTGCTGCCATCTAGCACTTGCAATCGCCTGGCTTGCAAGCGCAGCTAGAAACCAACCTTAATAATTATTCAGTCCGGTCCTTTAACAAGAGACTCACGAAGACCCGCAGCTGCACGTCTGGCTTCCACAATGCTCAGATACAAAGGTAATTTCAGTCTATAGGGGTCGGTTAAATGAACTGTAGTCGTATAGGTCTAGTCATGACTTACAGCGATCATGATTGATAAATTCTTCAAGATTTGTATTCTTTGGGTAGTGGGTGTTTCTGGGAGAGGAGAGACAGGCCAAGAAACGGTTTATATACACAAAACAAAGCACATTACATCACATGAGGCTATTTGACAAAAAGGCGGAGCCAAAATTGTGTTATTACACAGATTTTTGGAGCAAATGAACAAGGGATATGTATAAGCAAAATCAAGACATTGGCACTGGCACTGTACTGTAATTCACCATCCGAAAAGATCCAGGAAGAGGCTTGAACAACGGAAAAATAACCGTTGAATGTGAAATATCATATTTGCCGCTTGACCAAAATAGTTGCCAGAAGTAATTGCAAATTTCCAGAACATGCAGGGCAGGATTCCACGACATCGGATCGATATCCAAGGCCGTGCGAGGTGACAACGAACGACAAAGCTCCATATGTTAGTTCCCGAGTACGATAGAAAAGTTCCCGAGCACGGTGCCTCACTCGGGAATTACTGCCTTAACAGTCGACGTGTGAAAACGAACGTTGGCGAAAGAAAGTTGTATTGGTAACAGGGCTGACCGGACTGGACGATGTCCCGATGGGAGTTAGAGCCGTGTACGTAGGTCTATGACCTGAGCAGGTGACAAGAGGTATTCAGTCGAAAGGAGTTAGTCAGATTGTTGAGAGAGCGTAAAAAATGATTTGACAAGAGGAGAAGGAACGGCGATGGCGGCGATGAACATAGAGAGCGAGAAAGGTCACGATGAATCTTGAGAGTGACACGCTGATGCTGATGAGTGATAGATCCAGGCTAAGTTAGAACAAAGCTGAACCATGGATTAGTAAGACTATGAGGTGAATAAGAGTCGGAGAACGCACGAGATGGACAGCGAAAAGGAAGAGCCTGACATGTAAACCCAAATCCAGAAACAAACTTGGTTCTTGCATATAAGTTAGAATGTCGCCAGGGATATCTGTTGAACGGAAATAAAAAGAAAAAAAAACACAGAAGATAGAGGGAGAAAAAACGAAGACAGTGAGAGAAACGAGGAAGAGGGAAAGTAAAAACGAACATACACAGGGCTCTGCCCTTTTATAGGTGACGCAGCAATAGCGGAATTGAATTGAGGCATATCTGCGGACCGATTGCGTAAGCATCTCGACGCAATAATGCGATTGGTTAGCGAAATTGGATTTGTCCGATAACGCACCGCGACTTCATTCCCCAAGCTCACTATAATTATTAATGAGTCTGGACATCAATTCGTCTATCCTCATCTTTGGAGGTAGTGGGACCATTGGATCTTCCACGGCTTTGCATTTGGCTCGGAAAGGATACAGAAACATACGTGTTCTTGACGTTTACCCAATTCCCAGTGCTCAAAGCGCCGGAAATGATTTGAATAAGATAATGGGCACCAGTTTGCGAAATCCTGTAGATAGACAACTTAGTCTTGAGGCAGAAGATGCATGGCATGTATAATTGTTGCATGTCTCCAAGTAGTCCTGATAAATTACTAGGTCCAACGATCCGACCTTCTCCCCATATTATCATCGTTCTGGACGAGTAAGTATCAGATGCCTGCCAATTTCAAAGTACCTCATCCACGAGACAGTTAGACTGTTGTGTTTCCTCAGATGGCATCAATGATTTGAGAGACACAGTTGCAAAACTGGAGGATGCAGGGCTCGGCCATACCGTTGAATGGTTGGACACAGAGGCTCAAATCATCCAACGTGTGCCTCAATTGACGGGTTCCAACATCCAAGTAAGGACTCCCAATTCACACTTCAGACTTCTTACCTTACACTCCTTCGATATAGGGATGGAAAGGAATATTCTTTGAGCGAGGAGGCTGGCTCGCCGCAGCCAAGGCTATCGATTCAGTCGGTAGGGAACTCATGCGACACGGTGTCCAATTCTCTTTCGGAGAGTAAGTCCCAATGGACTATATAGAAAGAATGCCACATGACCGTGCATTTTCTGTCATCTCAGTTCTGGCACATTTCAAAGTCTCATTCTATCTGACGACGGAAAGACCTGCTCGGGTGCGGTGACAAAAGACGGAACCCGATACCTGGCTGACAGAGTCGTCTTGGCTTCCGGCGCATGGACTCCCTCTCTCGTGGACCTTGAGGATCAATGTTGCTCCAAGGCATGGGTATACGCACATATGCAGCTCACTCCCGAAGAAGTCAAAGAATACATTGGTTGTCCTGTAGTATATAACGAAGACATTGGATTTTTCTTCGAGCCTAATGAGTGAGTTTTCCGCCTCGTCACATCATCTCCAAGTTAGATGACATAGAATCACGCTATCCTCGGACGCGTAGAGACGGAATTATCAAAGTATGCGACGAATTCCCTGGCTTCACTCGATATAAGACGCATCAACCATTTGGTGCATCAAAGCCAACATTGGTATCCATCCCAAGATCCCATGCTCGTCATCCTACAGATACATATCCCGACGCGTCCGAAATCACCATTCGGAAGGCAATCGCTGCGTTCTTACCCAACTTCAAGGACAAAGAGCTGTTCAATCGAGCGATGTGTTGGTGTGCTGATACGGCGGATGCGAATCTGCTAGTATGTGAGCATCCGAGGTGGAAGGTATCTTCTCTCGATTTTGGTGACTAGAGATGATCCTCGACATCTGCTTTTTAGGGCTGCTTCGTGGCTACGGGTGACAGTGGGTGAGTAGATGTTATACGATATCACTCGACTCTTGACGAATAGCTCCCATCCATCGCTATGGAAAGGCATTCATTCAAGCTCCTGCCAATCGTAAATTTTTGCTATTTATTCTTATTGGAAGACCCCCGACGTGCTGATTGTCGATCTTCCTTATTAGATTGGTAAACACGTCGTGGAACTGTTGGAAGGAACTTTACAAGAGGATCTTCGAGAAGCGTGGCGATGGCGTCCTGGTTCTGGAGATGCTCGAAAGTCAACGCGAGCGGCACTTGCGAAAGACCTCGCCGACCTTCCGGGATGGAAGCATGATTCAGTTGATACGGAGAAGGGAGACTCAGATCACGGTGTAGTATAGCGAAGTAAAAGGCAATCGTAACTGGCCGTGTAATAAAACATATTGGCAATAATTGCAACATACATACAGTATTTCAATCTGAATTCCGGGTATCATTTTTTCCCTTCTAGCCCTGGTAGGCTGAACATCTACGAAATGCGCTTGAGCTGCTGTCCTTCTGACGAGCTTCAGACTAACCTCAAAGATAGTTTCCGAGGGAATTCCCCAACCCCTGGTACCTTCTACACGGTTATCCATTCTCGTTCCTAGCATGACACCAATGACTGCACCAGTCTCTTCATCGATGATTGGACCTCCGCTTGATCCAGCTGTAGGTAGAGGTGAAAACAATAAGTGAGAAAGGGCGTCGTATGTTCCCGGCTATTCACTTCAGCTCCAGTAACGTCTTGATCACTATAAACAAATATGACTTGCCTGAGTTTCCCTGCCCGCAAAGTCGCGGTAGCCCAACACGGTCCCACGTACCCATTTACTCCATGAATCTCCAACCCACGCGCCATCCAGGTTCCTCTGGAACTTCATGCGACACAAAATGCCCTAATACTGGCGTTCCTGCATGTACGGGATAGGGAGACACAGGAAGTGTAGCCACCCCAGGGTTTTTACAGGTCATGATCATCAGGTCTGATCTAGGAAGCGAAGACACGATATCAGTTACAGGGTACATGTTCCCTTCACTGGATATCACGAAAGAACCAGAATTGACACGTCTTGAGGTTGACGAAGAATGGAAGTTTGAACCATTGCTGTCGTTTTTCAGCATTATAGGCGAACGACGAATCTGGGAAGCAGATAATATTTAAGATGTAAGGTTTACATACGATAGGATGTCAACCTGCCTCCTCAAGGGTATGAGCACAACTAAGAATCAAGGACTCCCCTTCGCGTTGGGACGGCGCTTCCAATGCAAAGCCCGATGCAACTGTGATTTTGTGCTCATCCCCGTCTTGTACGCAATGTGCTATCAGCAGCACGTCTGGACTATTGGCAGTAGACGGTCCCCGGTTAACTTTCCGCAAAGCAGATGGACGAGATTCGTATAAGAGCGAGCTATTGAGTATATGCCTAGAGTTGCTCAAATAACTGTGAACTAGTTCGCTAAGGGATGGGGACTCTGAGCAAGAAGCGACTTTCAATATCTGTCGATCTAATGGTGATGGAATAGAAGGAGTCAAGTCCAGGGCTGCTCCTTCAGGGACCGGAGGTCCTCCCAAGTCCACTGGCGATTGAGAAACAGTGGCGTATTGTCTTGTAATCGGCCTTGGGAGTAACCAGGTGAATCTAAAAGTCCTCAACATCAGTAACAGTCAAGAATCATAAGCAATAATGCACAAAGTGTGAAACATAACTTTACCTTGGAGCAAGACCTTAACGCCCGCCTAGCTCAATCGGATAGAGCGTCAGACTCTTAAGTACTACTAGGCAGGGTATCTGAAGGCTGCGAGTTCGACCCTCGCGGTGGGCTATTCATTGAATTTTTGCACTTGAATATCATTTTTATTTTCATTTCATGAAGCAACGAATATTCTTCAATCATACGATATCTCTGCATCATCATCTACTACAAAACTGCCAAACTCGTACATATCTGGTTCCTCATCATCTCTTGCAGGAGAGCTGGAAACATCGGGCCTCCTTCGATTACTGTTCCGGGCATTCATCGAGTTACGGCCAAAACGTCCTTTCTTTACTGGCCTGTTAGCAAACGAGGGGCCTCCGCCAGGAGCCTGCGTCAAAAGAGACTGGCGATAAATCAAGCTTTGGTCATACGAAGGCGAAACTTGGGTCTCTGGAAGTTCTTCCAAAAACAACCGATCCGACTCGCTCTCGACGTCTTCGCTTCCAGAGCTCCCCTCGCTGACTTCGTCCCCGGAATGTACTGCAGCATAATCGTAAAGAGGATTGTCCTTTGCAGGGAGGTACGGTCGCTTTTCGCGTTTCTCTTTGGTGCGCCTGGTACTAGGTAGCGGTGGAGGTGGCATTTCAGACTCGGATAAATCTCGTCGGCGATGCAACCGTCGACGTGCTTGAACTGGACTTTTTGTTGGAGAAGAGTCAGCTAGTGCCACTGTCGCTGCGCGTTTCTTTCCCGCCGGCCTTATAGCAAAAGAAGGCTCAGGCGCTTGCGGTGATTCATCAATAGGAGAATTCATCGCGCGCGCAGGTAGATCAGGAGGACGCATATCGCCTTGACGAGTTTTGGATTGATTGGATTTCGCACTATGAGACTCAGATTGTTCAATGGCTTCTTGACGAGTAGAAAACCATCCTCCGTTCCGTATTTGTGAAGGCGGGGGCGGAGATAAACCGTGGCCCATGAACTCCATCGAATTATCGGCCGGGGCTTTGTTCGATGATGCGCTACAAGTCAAATCTGACGGCGAAGATGAAGTGAAGTCATGCCCTACAAACTCCAATGATTCGTCGTCCAACATCCTATCCAGTGGACTGCGTGCAGATGGTGCAGGTGATGAGTCAAGGTCATCGTCAATACTTATCATGAAATCTTCCAGCTCCGTAGTTCGCTGATCTCGCTCAACAACAGGAGATGAATTCACAAGATCAAAATCAAGCTGCAGATCTTCGTCTTCGTCTTCAAGGAGCCAAGCAAGATTCTGTGCGTTTCGCGTCGGGGATTTCTTTGGAGGCGATTGGCTCCAGGCTTTCGACGGTGATTCGAAACCCTGTTCAAAATCTTTTCGCAAAACAAAAAGTCAGCAAGAACGTGTCGCCGATGAAACCAGAACGACATTTTACCTGAAAGTTCACGATCTGAATCCGTCAGATCGACGACTTCAACACCTCCATCGACGATGGCTTGCTCAGAGGAACCTCTTCTGAGAGGAGATAGGGTAGAAGTAGAAGTAGAGGGGCTGTTCGCTTTCGTTAGAAGAATGCCATCCTCAATTTGCATATCATCCGAATCATCAACTCCTTTGGCCTGTATTTGACTCGCCGTCCATTCCGAAGGTTTGGGAGACTCTTCTTTCTCTTTCTCTTTCCCTTTCCCTCGCTTCGTCTTCTTCCGCTGATCAGGATCAAGTGTCTTGGCCTTCCGCAAGGAACTGGAACCAGTTTTGGTTCGAGGAGCAACAGATTTCGACTTTTTGAGAACCGGAGGCGCACCAAAAATCCCAGACGCAAGCTCCAAGTCGTCGTCATCATCTTCACCTAAAGCCTCGAAATCCTTTGGTTCCCGAATATTCTTAGCTTTCTTGTCACCTTTCCCTTTGACCAGCAAATCAGCAACACTAACAAAACCCGTGCTAGCTCCTTGCGGGATGTTTCTCCCTATATCGTCATTCCTTTTGCGTTTAACACCCCTCTTGGGTGATTTGTCTCCCTGACCGCGTTTCTTAAATGCTTCCTCACGCACATATGGAGATATCTCCATCTCTTTTTCGAGACACTGTGGGTGAACGTTATCAGGAAGTAAACGTTTTACATCGGCGTAGAATTCCAGATGCGACCCATACATGATCGATGCTTGGACGGCTTCATAGCTAGATTGAGCTTTGTCAAAATTGGCTTCCTCGCGGCCGTCTGCAAGGAGGACGTGGACATGACCAGACCGTTTACGCCCTGTTCGGCCTAGTCTTTGAAGCTGAATGCATCTTATTAGCTGTGTTTTTGAGGAACTTCGAGATTAACGTACCATACGGATTGGGGTTTTTTGCGTGTCATAGCAGATTGCGAGATCAACTTCGCCGATATCCAGGCCCTCTTCACCGATAGAGGTCGCAACCAGAACGTTGAATTCGTTATCTTTGAATCTCTTGACGGTCTGAGTCAAAGTAGATTGATTTCGTTTATAGATGCCACGCAATAATCATAACCCACCTCTAGTTGCTCGCGCTGTAACATACCTTTACTTCCTTTTTTGTCTGTCCCTTGACCAATAAAAGGCGTAGCCCGGATGAGAGGCTGCTCCATGTTTAACGCTTCCACGATCTCATCTACCGCTGCCCGGTTATTGACAAAGACCATTGCCTTTGTTGCCCCTTGCCCACTTTCCGGATCACCGTCATCACTCATTCGCGCACCAAAATGTTGCACGATCAAATCTTTCATCTTCGCCATCTTGGGATGTATGCTGAATCCCTCCGCGTTTTGAGCCCGCATTTCGTTCATGAGGTTGATAAATAGTGGGTTTGTGTGTACTTTTTTGGCTTTTGTAGCATTTGCTTTTTCGGATGGTCGCATGCCTTCTGTGCTCTCAGGGCCACGGACGTAAGCTTCGAGTGCATCATAGCACATCTTTATTGTACCTTCCATCTATGTAGGTTACCAGAGAGAAGGTAAACGATCTAATCTTGAGGTAGGTTGATAGCTTACAAGGTAACCCAACCACCGGGCAAATGACGCTAGAGTGTGAAGTGGACCATAAAGGTGACGCTGGCCTTGGCCCAGATTCTGGATACGAGATGTTGCAGCGTATGGATGCATCCGCAACAGATCGGGTTTACTCTTCCACATATGTGCAATGGGTTTGAAGAAGGACTAACATACTGGTCAAAAACATGCTCAGCCCATCATTTCAGCTTACATCCATGAGTTTGAAGAAGAGGTTCATGATTTTGCGGATCTCCGGCGTCATCGATATAACGTGCTGCTCAACTTTCTGCACGCAATCGCCATTACAAAGAGTTAGCCAGACTATGTCACACTATGGCAAGAATACATACTTTAGCGTTGTTATAGCGAGCTAGTTCGCGTTCGGATCGAATCTCTATACGACTGATGTGCAGTCCGTCGATGAGCGTTTGGACAGCTTCTTTGTTACTACCAGGAGTAGCAGTCAGAGCCAACACTCGGAAATGGGGGTTTTTTGCCATCATGTAACGGACGACCTGATTGTAAGCGTAATCGCCCGTAGCACGATGTGCCTCGTCTGATATACAATGAATATAGTAGTTCAATCATTCGACAATACACACTTGCCTACGACTATGAGAACAATGTCTCGAGCATCGCAATTCTCTGATTGTAGATCGTTGATCAGTGTCTGAGGCGTCATGTAAAATACACGCTTCTCTCCCCACTGTACTCAAAACGTAAATAGTACTAGATGACAAGAGCGAGACCAGGCTTACAAATTTATGTCTTATTGTTTTGGACTTCTCTCCAGTCATTTCAACTGCATCACTTCCGGGTATACCACAGACCTCATGACAAGCGTCGATTTGCTGCGCCACGAGCGGTTTCGTTGGAGCAACAAAAACTACTTTGCCTTCCGGAAACCATCGGTAGTCTGTATTGAAGCGGAAGTGAGCGAACAACGAGTACTGTTTGCTATACTCACAATTCAGCATGACTACTCCAGCAATGAAAGTCTTTCCTGTACCAGTCGGGAGAGCAACGATTGTGTTTTCAAAGAGACTATGTCGGACAACCTCAAACTGGTAGTCACGTTTCGGTCGGTTGAGTGGGAAGATCCAGTGTTTAGCCTCTAAAAGGTCAGGTTGGATTTTCATAGGAGGAGGCTGAAAGCGCACATGAGACGCAGAAATTACAGATTGAATGACTTGACTTACCGGACTGGCGACGGAAAGGGCGAGACTCAGCTCTTGAAGTTGCATTTTATGAAGTAAGCCTTTCACTCACCCAACTATCAAATAGTAGATAGTTAGAAACGACAGGACGATGAGAATATGATACTCACGAGATACAAAAGGCGCTGGGAACTGCTCAAACTCAAAATCTTCTTCTTCACCTTCTCTACCTTCGTCTTTCTGTTTCGACTTTCCTTTTCCTTTCGCCTTCCCACTCTTGACTCCAGTCTTCGCAAAAGCGGTGTGATCCCACTGCTTTGTCTTCCGAGGCTCTTGTCCGCTTTTAGGCCTTTGCGCATGGGTGTTGGATCTACTGGTGGAGGAACTTGCAGGAAGAATTTCTCCGAATAAGGTGGTCTGCACAGTGCCTTTGGACGATGTTCTTGCTAACGAGACAGCTTGTCGTGGTGGTTGTGGGTAGACATCGTCCTCTATGGCTTTGAGAGCATTAAGAGCGTTGTCGTCCAGCTCGAAGGATTCGCCGTAGTCTGAACTATCCAGCGTAATGGGAGAAGAGACCCTTGCGCTGACAGGGGCCTGGGGTTGCTCAGTCGATTGCTGATATTGCGCTTCGATTGCATTGAGCTGTTCAAGTGTTTCATCATCAAACTCGTCGTCAAAGTACCCATCAGAGCTCATCCCAGATATCTGATGAATTGAACGAGGACGAAGCACAGAACAAGAGGTAGTGTGTCGATGTTCAAGAAATGATGACTCAAAGGCTCTTCGCGACGCGTTCTCGTTTAATTGTACATGTCACGTGGTACATTCTCCCGCCGGAAATTGCCGTCATATTACCGCTTGCTTAGCCAATTTTGTTCTCGGTTTGACTTTGAAGTTCTCGACTCGACTCTCTGATTGTAAACCTTTCCATCGCAATCTCAATGATTTTTGACGAATCGAATGCGCCACA